AAATTTTCTCGTTATACTTATATTGAAGCCTTGTTGCTTACATAAGTCTGAATAGTCCTTTGAAGCGTTTTGGGTTTTGATTTGTTTTACATTAACTGAGAAGACTGACTGTTTGTGTTTTATTATTTAATCTTAACTTAAAGCTCAATTGTTCGTGTTCTCCTAATTTCACTTATTTTCTTAAGGCATTATTCCTTTAGATATGATCTTCCATATCTTCTTTTAACTCAACTAAATGCTTAGTAGCCGATTTGGCTCACCTAGGTTAATCAACAGCTACTAGCTTTATTAGCATAACTTTTGTGACGGGAACTGAATGGCTTTTAAAAATAAATTTCTAGCAAAGGACTGACGAAAAAATTAAATGACCATACTTTTAGGAAATATTAACAGGTAGTCATAAGTACCGTAAGTCAGGTCGAGATCCAACTTGGAAAAAGTATATTGTTGATGAACCCCTTGATTTGAAATAGCTATACTTACTCCGATTTTGAGCAGGGTGCGAAATGAAGTTCGCAGGTCGGTCTCCATAAAAAGACAGCTGATTTCGTTTGGCCATCTGTTATTTGGTTATAACGGCAAATTTTGATTGGCATTTGAGCTCATTCATTTACAGTCATTTTGACGGACACATTTTCTTATTCCTAAATCTTTGTGTTTAGACTCTCCTTTGGCCCGAGTGCATTCGTCTAATGCAGATTATCGTATCTCGCTGTGCAGTCCTTAGCGTAGTTCCCTCCAACTGTGGAGGCCCGAACTTTGTATCTTCGACTGGACCCTCCTATCCCTCAGCTTCGTCTCACTTCTTCCCCTTCAATCAAGTGCATAATATGCCTGGTGGCCTCGGTCATCTTGTTGCAATGGTTTCAAGTCCAGGGGGCGCTGGAATTACCGGCTCAACTGCAGGGTTAGACGATCCACCACGTGGCATCACATGTTCTAATCTGGCCAGCTACGAGTACTTGACCTCGGCTGCCGCTGCAATGACAATGCCTCCCTTGCCCGAATCCGAGCCACAGCGCCTTGAGTTAGCCGGTCGAGTACTCGATTTTCATTTCGATGTTACGTCACCTGCTAACGCCCCTTTATTGTTACCTGACCTTTGTCTGACACAGAGTGATTTGGATCAAGTTGCTGAGGCAACGATGATAGCGGCAAGCCCAGCTGGACATTATGCTGCTCAAGGGCAGAGTTACAATCATGATAAGTCTTCAGGACTAAGTAGACCCGTTGTGAAAAGTGATAAGCAGAAAACATGTATTACAGACTTCCAACTTGTTTATGGAATTCAATCATCTAAGGAAAGTGATGCTTCATCTATCGCTGCCCTCTCGCAGAATTTGTTCTCTTCACCAAGCTCTCAGGTCGTCACTGGAACACTCGGTTCTGAGGCTGTTACGGGAACTAGCTTGATGGCAAATCCAGGCCACCAGCTGTTACCAGCCACACAAGCTCTTCTTGGGGCGAACTGGCGTAATCCAGGCTCTTGTCGGGTATGCTTGTCTCCTGACTTCTTTATACTATTCTCCCGTATTACCTATGTTTTCCTTTTCCTTAGATTCTTTATTTTTATACCTTTAGAAATACACCCTAATGCCCCTCGACTGACTTAGATTTTTATTTAATATAATACTATTTGGCTTATAATTTTTCACATTTTCCTTCATATTAAGTAGGTTTTGAAACCATCAGTAGGTCTTGAATACGAGCTGTATTCGCCCAATGTCGTATAAAGTAATGAAGGACTGAATTAAATTTTCCCACAATAATGTGAGTAGACCTCATGTTTCCATTGCAATTCACACATACTTACTTCACAAAAGTACTCTTACCCAGGGTGCTCACTGCGCTTTCGATCTTGCGTAGGCTTCATCTGTAACCCCAGCTGAATTTGAGGCCGGATAGTACAGCGTATAGTCTCCACGCGTTGTCACTTATTCCACACTTCCATGAGTACAACTAAACAATAGGATAGACGTGAATCTCAAGTAAGGCTGGGCCTTTCCTACATCCTATCTATATAGTGGGATTTCCCATTTTCACTCTTAAATATCAATATTATCTAATTTTGATTGTGAGATCAAACTTAAGTTTCCTTACAGATACGAAGAGTAACTGGGACTTGATGAATCTCCTGCAATAACATTGTTGAGGAGGCTTTCATTTTGTATTAAAGTGCATGAAGAAGAGATTCGAAGCTCGCTCTCACCAGAAGAGGAAGGTTGATTATCGTTGTACTGCAGCCATTTGGTTTTAACACGACGTTCAGGTTGACACAGTCCACGAGACATCTTCCCTTGTTTCGGTTGAAAACAGACTGGGCTTTCCTCTATCATATCATGGACATCATCATTCTTGTAAAAGTCTCAGGTTAATACTAGGTCAAGATGACTATTCGGCTCTGGACGAAAGCTCAGACCGTTTTCACCCGAAACGAGGGATGATGTCTCGTGGACTGCGTCAAACTGAGCATCGTATTAAAGCCAATTGGCTGCAATATAACGGGAATCAGTCGTCCTCTTCTAGTGAGACCTACCTAGGAATCTCATTTTCATATGAAATGAAAGTCTACCCAACATTATTAAGTTTCATCGTAGATACTAAGTCCATAATACGGCAGTATCCTTTCTATGTATATTAGTTGATTGACCTTGTTTTCGCAACTTGGTCTTATTGACATGAAGACGTAGAAGAACGCCGGATCTTGTCCGGAGTCCATAGTATGTACGATAACTTCCAACTTAGCTGTAATATCTGTATTGTATATTGGACAACCCTATTCTAATATATCATTGTTGAAGAAAATGGCATTTATTTATTCATATGACTCATTAACTAGGAAGGAATATTTTTTATATCATCATCTTTCCAGATATTTTTACCGAAATACTTGCGGTATTATATGAAATTTTATTTTTCACGCTAGAGAAGCAACTCTGATAATCTATCTTAGCTTATTCCTATCGAAATTCTAGTATATCTGTGCTTCCTATTTAACTCTATCTCACTTTCTATCGGCAAGATCAGAATCTATTTAAGGTCGTCGATTTTACTCGCAAGTACACTTATGCTTCATCGACACTCCCACTATTAATGTCGTACACTGGCATTCGAGGCTATGTAGTGAAATGGCTGGCTGCCTAACGGATTTGACTTTCCGAGTTTCGAATCCTGTTGATGAGACCTGAGCGGGATCGAAACTGACATCTATTCTGAATGATAAAACCTTTTGGGAGACAATTCTAAGTTTAGTTCACTGGCATTGTGGGGCTTGCTCGCATCATTATAGCAAAAACTCCACTATCAGTCGTCAATTCACTTTTAAGCTACCATGCTCTTTTTATCTAATCTCAGGGACAATTGCAATTTATTTATCTGAGTCTGTACAATTTATTTTTTTCTACCGTTTGAGCCCTAGTGACTATTTAGGTGAGCCATATTTCATATACCTTGTGATAACTTCAGTGACTTTTGAATGCAACAGATCAATAATGCATTTATCTTAGCCTGATATCATCATTAATAAAAGTGTAGGGACCCTTGTTCTTCAATGAAATTCTCTAGGACGATCACCTATAGGTATTTAAAATACCAAGACTAATTGTGGGTATTCATCCTTAAAAACGGTTCACTGGTAGCTTATTTTTTCAGATTTTTCAGCAATTTCATGATTTAATAAAATGGCCATTAAGCAGATTACCTCTCTTCTATCTTGATTTGCTTTGACGAGCCCTCTTATTTTTAAATTGATTTTATTTATTGTTTATTTGCTTCTCCACAAATCTGGCTTGTTATTCTAGTGGGATTTATTTTGTTTTCTTGTCAGACCCGAATTCGCGAACATTTGCTCAGTTTAGTCACTTCCTATGGCACTCCGACTACGCGTATTGGAGCATCAAAAAGCCCATCTGTAAGGATTCCTCCCTCCTATTACTTTTTTCTACTTCAGCTTATTGATATTTGCTTATTTTATTTGAGCTTTATACTTCGAATCGGTAAATATTACTTGATTATTTAAATTAAAACTTTAACGTCCCACGTGTTGGAAATCATGACAACTTTCTAATATTGTAAATATGAAGATCAAGCTGATGTGGCCTTTGTCTTCGTCGCAGTCTCCTTTCACTGTATCTAAGTGGCTTGACCTCGTTTTCGCAACCAGAGCTACCTAGTTTAATTCTGCCATAATTGTTATGTTAATTC